AGGTTCGGACCTGTCCATCCTTTGGCTACGCGTAGACAGCGACGAACATCCGCGCGTCTACGGGTGCCTCTATAGGTCCCATAGCGGTAATGCCGAAACAGACCAACTCATCGACCACGTCCAAATGGCTACAGATTCCTTGCTACAACAGGTCCCATCCGCAGAGATTGTGATCCATGGCGATTTTAACGCCCACCATGCCGAATGGCTCGGTTCACGTTTAACCGATCATGCGGGGAGATCTGTTTATGACTTTGCCTTGGCATATGGTCTGACACAACTGGTTACTTCGCCTACGCGGATTCCAGATGTGGAGGATCATACACCTTCCCTGTTGGACCTTCTGCTGACCTCTCATCCGGACGGATATCGAGTTTCCGTCGATGCCCCTCTCGGCTCTTCGGACCATTGTCTGATCCGGAGTATGGTGCCACTCACGCTCCCTTCGCGGTTGCGTTCTGCAGGTTGCCGCCGTGTTTGGCATTACAGGTCGGCGGATTGGGACGGAATGCGGTCTTTCTTTGCATCCTACCCATGGGGGCGGGTTTGCTTCTCGCCGGATGATCCCAGCGTTGTTGCTGACTCTGTCACTGATGTGGTGCTACAGGGAATGGAACTATTTATTCCATCATCTGTGGTACCCATCGGAGGCAGATCTCAGCCTTGGTTTGGTCGCTCCTGTAAGACTGCATTGCGCAGTAAGCAGGAGTGTTATCAAGCCTGGGCTGCGGCTTCGGTGACTCGGGATCTAAACACCAGCACATTAAAAAAGAAGTATAACTTCGCCTCTAGGTCCTTCAAAAGAGTTATTGCCAGGGCAAAGTCAGAGCACATAGGCAGAATTGGCGAGAAACTAGTTCGCCTTCCTTCGGGAACCCGTGCATTCTGGTCTCTCGCCAAGGCTGTCCAAGGGAATTTCTGTAAGCCATCACTACCATTTCTGCACAGGGAGGACGACTCACTGGCCCAAGACGCAAAAGACAAAGGCGACCTTTTAGGCTCCCTTTTTGCGTCCAACTCGACTCTTGATGACGGGGGGAAAACACCGCCGACCATCCCGCGGTGTGAGTGCTCCATGCCGGATGTGCTGTTCTCACAGCGCTCGGTTCGCAAAGCACTGCTCTCCCTGGACATCCAGAAGTCGAGTGGGCCTGACGGAATCCCCCCAATTGTGCTGAGGACGTGTGCTCCGGAGTTGGCACCGGTCCTAACGCGTCTTTTCCGGTACTCCTACTCCCAAGGCGTAGTCCCGAATTCATGGAAGACAGCTTTTGTCCACCCGATCCCTAAAAAAGGCGACCGCTCAGACCCATCCAACTATAGGCCTATCGCGATCACCTCCTTGTTCTCCAAAATAATGGAATCCATTATTAACTGCCAGCTCATCCGGTACCTTGAGGATCACCAGCTGATTAGTGACCGCCAATACGGTTTTCGTCGGGGTCGATCAGCTGGTGATCTTCTGGTCTACCTGACCCATAGATGGGCGGAGGCAGTAGAGACCAAGGGGGAGGCGTTGGCCGTTAGTCTGGACATTGCGAAGGCCTTCGATCGGGTTTGGCACAAAGCGCTTCTTTCGAAGCTCCCTTCCTATGGGCTTCCCGAGAAATTGTGCAATTGGATCACCAGCTTCCTTGCAGATCGGAGCATCAAGGTCGTTGTAGACGGTGCATGTTCTGACTACAAGCCTATTAACGCTGGTGTTCCACAAGGCTGTGTCCTATCACCAACGCTGTTTCTTCTGCATATCAATGATATGTTGCTAACTGGTAACATTCATTGCTATGCGGATGACAGCACTGGTGATGCTCTATACACCGGCCGGGCCAATATTTCTCGGGAAAACGTCGCCGAGTACCGGAACAAACTTGTGTCTGAAGTCGAGTCTTTGCTGGACAAAGTCTCGGATTGGGGGCGACTAAATCTATTCCAGTTTAATCCTCAGAAGACACAAGTTTGCGCGTTTACCGCTAAAAAGAACCCCTTTGTCGTATCTCCTCAGTTTCAAGGCACTCCCCTTCTTGCCTCAGCCAGTATCGGTATCCTCGGAGTCGACATATCGAGTGACGTGCAGTTTCGTGGTCACTTGGAAGGGAAGGCCAAATTGGCCTCTAAAAAGCTTGGCGTGCTCAGCAGAGCGGGACAGTATTTCATGCCGGCACACCGCCTGCTACTTTACAAGGCGCAAGTTCGGCCTCACATGGAATACTGTTCCCATCTCTGGGCAGGGGCTCCCCAGTGCCAGCTCCTTCCACTTGACCGCATCCAACGCAGAGCGGCTCGAATTGTCGACGACCGTGCCCTTTCCGATCGGCTCGATTCATTGGCACTGCGAAGAGATGTTGCATCCCTTTGCATTTTCTTTCGCATCTACCATGGGGAGTGCTCTGAGGAATTGTTCGGATTAATCCCAGCCGCCAAATTTCATGAACGCACATCGCGGCAGAACTCCCGATACCATCCACACCATCTGGATGATTGGCGGTCCACCACTGTGCGATTTAGAAGATGTTTTCTTCCTCGCACGACTTCCTTGTGGAATCGATTGCCATCAGCGATTTTTCCGGACCGATACGACTTAGGGACCTTCAAGAAAAGAGCTTACTCCTTTTTAAAAGGCCGGCAACGCATCTGCAATTCCCCTGGTGTTGCGGTTGTTCATGGGCGGCGGTAGTCACTTACCATCAGGTGAGCCGCATGCTCGTATGCCCCCTCTCCTATAAAAAAAAAAACTTTAATTATAGTTAAGTAATAGGTCTGCAACTACGTAAAATATCAACTTATTACTTTTTTATTTCATTTTATTTTATAACGATTTCTTATATTTACGCGAACACTATACATTTTAAAAAAAACTATTTTTTTTAAAGGATAGGGCGACAAACGAGCACACAGTTCACCTGATGGTAAGTGGTTGCTGTGGCCCATAGACATCTACATTTATCCTCGTTTGCGAATCAAAATGCAGATGCGTTGTCACCCGTGAGGGCTAAGCTGTAATGCCTCTTTTCCAGTAAAAAGGGTCTCCGGTTCTCTACACTCACCATAAGAAACACAGCAGCGTTAAGCTGCTATTTTACGCTGTTATTCTGTGAGAGCGTGGTCCTACCCCGGTCCAGCCGACCCATTCGTGCTACAACTATACTACTAATATAGCTGCAGCATGGCTCTACCACGTATAAAAACTATGTTTACGACGTTCAATTTACTTATTTTAATTCCCGAATTTCGGGGAAACTTCGGGGATTAAAGTAAGTAAATAAAACGCGATAAAATCCGTAAGCATAGTTTTATTTCATTTTTCTCTACATATTGAAGTGTGTAATATCAAAATAACTGCCTTAATAACTGCCTAAACTGTCCGGGAAAATCTATGGAATGGCTGAACCGATTGTAATAAAACTTCACGAACAGAACGAGAGCAATGCCATAAGTGATATGGACTATATTTTATCTGAAAAACTAAGAGATCTAAAAAAACTGAAATTTTTTAAAATAAATGAACTGTGGCTATACTCTAAATATCGCCACATTAATAAATCCTATTCACGCGAAGCCGGAGAGCAAAATGCTTTTCTAAATGTGTAAATGATTGTGTCAAATACATATTGGAAGGTCCTTCTCTAGAATATTTAATTTCACTGATGAACATACGATGTACGAGACGGCGTACGAGAATCCACTACCCCATATCTTCCCGTTGATGTCGTAAGATGCGACAGACAGAAATAAAACCGGACATGGACAGCAGCAATATATAATAAATATAAATAAAAAGTATTTCATTGCCACATAAAAATACATTGATAAAATTTAAATGGACAGCTTAATAATTAGTTGTGATAAAATGGTCAGTGACTCAGTTGTAACGGGAAACCCATTACTCCTACTATTCTGCCACAACCTTAGCGCCTTAACCATACAGGGTCTTAGGCAAGTTATGGAACACACGTATCTTAAAATAAAACTAAAACAATAAACAAATAATAGGCACTAAGAATACAAAAAAACATCACAAATTTGAGAGGGTTTCAGAACCACACAGAGCCAAGGACTGCTGTTACATCAGCCACTATTTGAATACACAGGGCACGTCTATGTTCAGTGGTGAACTCTTAATAGGTTATAACGATGATTATGAATGATGACATATTGTTAATCATGCTGAAAGGGACAATTAAGTCATGAGCCACACATTCTTTCTTATTCACCACCGCTGCGCAAGCAGGTTGGTATACGCAGACTTCTATCGTCGCAATGGTCGCTTTCACAACCTTTATTCTATGAGATATGTATGCGCTTTACGTTTTAATGGTTTACTGTCAATAATTGAACATTAGTAGCCTTGTCAGTCAGTCAGCAGATACTGCACACAGATGAAATTGACGTTGAAAGATGCTCTAACATTACCCAATAAAAAAACTTATTTTTTTAAAACATAATATTTTATACAACATTCAAAATACTTTTACACAACATTCAAAATATTGTTACACATCATTCAAAATTTACGTTCATACTGTAGAATAGTTATTTATTGTTGGAATTTGCTTGCTTCACTAAAATAAACTATTCGCGCATATCTTTTTGAAGTCATATACAAGTACTATTGAAATAATACTAGGTATATACTACTGAAATAAAATAATCTCAATGCCGGAATCTGCAACGTCTTTGCACTTATAAGAGGGGACCCTACGTAATGCGAGGGTCAACACGAGCCGACAGCCACTTTCGCTCTCAGTTCCAGCATAGAATACGCACGTGGAGTACGTTGCGAAGGGGAAATACGCATGTCTTGCATTTTTACGTACCAGATATCGATAACTTAATGAGTTTATCCTTGTAGCAAATTTAAATATAGAATATTAAAATATAAATTGTGATAATTTTAAACGTGATTTTCTCTGCAGTATTTTAAATAAATTTAAGTTTTTTTTTTTAAATAAATAAATAATTTTATATTTATATTGGTGACGTTAAAGTGAAAAAGTGCGAATATGGTGGCAAGTGTACAATGGTTGTTTTTACTCGGAATAACAACTATTCAATTTACTGGTAAGATATTTTAAAATAATTAGACAGAGTATGTAATATTTTTAATATAATTTTCAATAGTGTAATTGGTGAATAATCTACGTAAACGTTCCATTATCAAATTAATATCTATTATATTCATTTGTTTCATTACAAGGATCAAAGCAATAAATAAAATGATATTAAAAATATTGACACTTTTTTTGTGCTGTAGCTCTACCTGTGTGTTATAATTTATAATAAAAACAGTAAGCAAATCGGTACACCTATTTTGTAATATTTTTACAAACGTGTAGCAGAAAGACAAGAATAAATTATCGTCTAATTCATATTTAATCGAAAAGTAAAATATTTAAAAAAGTACCTGATAATTTAAACATAGTTCTGTGTTTGATAGCATAATAAAGCGAAAATAATTGAGGGTGCGTAACCTAATGGCAAAGGATGCGGACACAATAAGTTATGGGTTTGAATCCGATATTCGACTACTGTGATGAATCACTCTTTACACAAGCAATGTAACGTTACTTGGGAGTATTACTCAACTAGAGTATTATTAAATTTGGATAGCGTTACTAGTATTCTAATTAAGAAAACAAGTAGAGATAATTTTGATTTAAAAAGTTACATTTCGAAAACCAGCCTAGTTTTGCAAAATAGAAATAAACAAATTTTAATCGAGTAGAAATATTTGAGTGTAAAATTTATATACATTTTTATAACGTCCTAGTGAACATTTTGAAATTTGTGAATAAGTGAATTATTATCACTAACAAAAGTATAATATGAAAACTAAGACCAATAAAAAGCTATTGGTACGAAACGTATTATTATGCAAACATGACAACTTGACAACAGTTCCTCAAAACGTGAATCAAGTTACCTCAACATACCGCTGCTGGTCGCACGTACACATGGACAAGGCGCGTCGCTTCCGAATGTTACGTTAAACGTTCGCCCGACATTCGACTTGCATAATCGCGATGTCTTGCTCTTTCGTGCGTTAATTGTATGACAACTTGCGGATATTGTAAACAAGTTTTGTAATATTCTTAATAACGTCATATTTGCAATAGATAACATTGTAATAGCAATGTGCCATTAATGTCTAATACCTGTATTACAAATTGATTTTGTACGTATTTAAAAATTTGAAAACGTAAGTTTTTAATGGCCTATTTCAAACGTATATTGACCGATTACGTCAATAAGCGTCATTAATAATATTGTTTTTGAGCATTGTTTAGCTCAGTGAATCAAAGTCAGAATAAAATAATTATTATGAAGTACCAATATATAATTTTTATGATAAAATTGTTTCATAAGAAATTTTTATTGAACATTAATTGTCAAACATAGTCCTTATATAAAACATAAAAAAAAATCTTTTAACTTATTTGTAAGACTAAGACAAAATCCCTCACTTTCTAAATTTAAGTATCTTAACCTCTTCAATATACATATTATATGCCTGTGAGTGAGAACAAGCTACTCCTGGTAAGGAATCGCTAACAAGAAATTGAAAATTTACCAAGCAGGGAATCTACGAAACATGATAGCTCCGAAGTTTAATGGCTAAGCGCAGCTTTTTAAGAGTATCTGAAACGAGTATACAATTCAATTTTTTTTATAGGATATGGTAACAAACGAGCACACAGTCCACCTGATGGCAAGTGGTTGCTGTGGCCCATAAACATCTACATCTATCTTCGATTATGAATCAAAATGCAGATGCGTTGTCACCCGTGAGGGCTAAGCTGTAATGCCTCTTTTCCAGTAAAAAGGGTCTCCGGTTCTCTACACTCACCATACGAAACATAGCAGCGTTAAGCTGCTATTTTACGCTGGTATTCTATGAGAGCGTGGTCCTTCCCCGATCGAGCCGACCCATTCGTGCCACAACCATAATATAGTTGCAGCATGGCTCTACCGCGTATAAAAAATTGATGGTAAGCGAATGTTACAACCATAGAAACCCATATCTATATCGAGAATCAAATTCAGATGTATTGTCACTATCAGGAATAAGATGCAATGCCTCGTTTTTATTAAAATGGGTAACCGGTACCCTAAGTCATAGAAAACAAAGCAGTATTATGCTAAAGCAGTATTTTACACTGGTATTCTGTGAAAGGGTAGTAAAGCGTAGTGATTTCAAGTTGCGGCCACAATCAAGTAGCAGTGTAGAGACGTACGATTACAGCAAATATTGATATGACATAAAACCATTTGATTATGAATATTTGTCCATGTTCAATTTGTATACGTTAAACTTCATGGAAGATGAGTAATAATTCGTATTTAATTTAAAAGAATAAAAAGACATATTATGTTTCTAATCTCTAGAGTAAACATAATCTCAATTATATTACAACTTAATATTCCATATTTGGATAACAGAATTCTAAAAGTTGTTGTCAACGGTTTCAAACTTAAATCTAAGTAATTATATTTGAAGCTATTAATCGTAAGGGCAGAAGCCGAACATGATAAAATACGCAGTGTACACTTGTCCAAAAATACTTGTATTTAATGTCTTTTATAATTTTGACAAACATGAATTCCGGGTGAGAGAACATAAGACTGTTGTGAAATAGAATAGATAGAATCCACAGTAACACAAAAACTCAGGGTCTCAGACTACAAATACGCGATTCGACTACAACATGAACCAATCCTTACTAGGCTTAAAGCAGAGGTTATTAAGTAATTTTACATTCGTATCACTTTCATCATTTTTTAAAAAGGTAATGGTTAAAACGTAATATAGTATAATTTACGTAATACTTGATAAAAGTACCCTATGAATTCTCGGCAGGGTGTTGCACATTACAGCAACTAAAATCATTGAATCTTAAAAGATCTATCAATTTTAACCAATCAGGCTGTACTGGGCTGATGAATGGGTGAGGTTAGAACTAGCACAAACAAATTAATATCTTGGCACAGATAATGCCTCACTTCATCACAAGCTCGAAGGACTTCCGATTTTTTCGCTGTTTTTATATTAATTTTTAATTTTTTTAATAATGAAGTTATTTAGATATGATAGTAGAATTTTTTTTAAATAATTTAAATAAGATACTGTTGATAAATTAACTTACTCGTAACATAAAAAACAAAGATATTTTATTTTATTTTATATAGGCTCGAAGTTCTCGAACAGTTAATAAGTTGATATACCGCCATATTTATATGTCGCCAGAGGATCGTTCGTTAATTAGCAGGACGCGTGCATTTCATACTACTGCTGCTTTTTATTTTCAATGCTGTTGGTGCTGTTAGTCTATACGGCTCTAACAGCTTCATCTGACACAGGGCTATTTATGAAAAGGAAAGGCAATGATGATGATGATGATGGTTTCTGATTTGGAATTGTTACCAATCATCATGTTCCGTCCGTTGAGGTTTTTTGAGCTATCTAACCACTGTCCGAGTGGTGGTGTACTCGTGGGGTCGATGTTTTGGGCAGTGTAAACCGCCCAGGTACGTGGGTGTGCAGTGTGTACGCGGTGTGTGCTGGAACGCGTCGTGTCCGCCTACGGGTGCGACGCGCCCCATCCGTTATCTTACTTGTGCTTGTCCCATTTGGTGTGGGTGTAGTGCCAATGTTTGATGTGCCTGCCACGATTGGGTCGACGGAGTCGAGCGAGTGAGGTTCTTCTATAAGTACATTACGCGGTCTACGGAGAGTCGGCGCGTTGTAGTGTAGTGTAGTTGGCTGCGTTTGCCACTACCGGGCTTGTAAGGGTTTCAGCACTATCAAAGAAGCACTAGCACTAGCACTATCTGAGACATCCTTGAAGTATTCGGAGATAGAGGGAAGTTGACAATCACTGTGCGAGTCACGTGGGTCCTATACGTGTGGGTGAAGGATGCACTTGCCTGTATGGCTACACTGCCCAATGTATGATAGATCTAACGCAGGTTTCGTACAGGTGGAGTTTGTGTCTTAGGGACAGTTTACTCTTTCTGTTAATAAGAGGGTGGAGACGGCCAATGACTGACATGGCTGTGTTGCGTACTACACTTATGAGTTTCGCGAAATTCATGCGTATATCGAACGTGACGCCCAGATATTTGGCCGAATTTTCCCAAGAGATGGGGCGGCCGTATAAATAAATTACATTTATTCTGGTTTTTTATCCACAATTCTTATGGAGTGGTTTTGGACTCCATTGAAAGTATATTGCTACACTTTTTTCGGGATTCACTTCACATTCTCCATTGGCGGAACTATTCGCCTAAGCGGTTGTTAGGTTTTTGAAGTGTTAAAGTGTACCTGTTATAATCTAATAGAAAGAGTGCCGTATCTTCAGTGAAGAGAGCAGTGTCTACCACTGGGCCTTTTGGGATATGACTCGTGAAGAGTGTAAAAAGGAGTGGAGACAGGACGGAGCCTTGTGGGGCTCCGGCCTTTAGAAAACGTTTCGAAGAACGGGTTCCCTCCTCTCGATTGCGAAAAGAGTGATTTATAAGGAAGGCTTGGATGATGTGTACGAGCCTGTCGAGTAATTCAGTTTATAGAGCTTGTAGAGCAAGCCGTCGTGCCCGATCTTATCCAATGCCTTTGCGACATCGAAGAAAAGGGTTCCCGTATTTGGAGACTTATTTTTGTCGGGTAGTGATTAAAGCCCGACAGAATATATTCCGTTAGGTGATTAATTTGTTGAGTGCACGAGTGTTCGGCTCTAAAGCCAAACTGCTTGTCGGGGAGAAGTCTGTTAATCACAATGAAGTGACGGAGGCGCTTTAGAATGCTGCGCTCGTATAATTTACCCAATGCCTTGATTAGACGATTGCGGGGTTTCCCTGGTTTTAGGATAGCGAGAGGAGAAGCGTGTTGAATATTCCTACGAGTAGGTAAATTTGTGGCGCCGGAAGGGATTTCATCACCTTGTTGCTTATGCCGTCTGGCCCAGGGGCTGATCTATTCTTAAGGATTTTTATGGTTTCTGTGACTTCATCAACAGTCACAGGATCGAGTGGTTTGCCCGCTGGTGGTAACGGAGACCTACGTT